CTCAACAGATACACTCTGCAGTATTTCACATGTACAACAGGCTTTTGCTTTCTATTTCTATCAGCCATCAGTCCCTTTTGGTTGTGATAGCAGTNCCATGCGTTAGCTATTACATCCTATGCATCGCATATCGCAGTGAGGTATGTGAGTGGATATGTGCAGTGCATAACAACACACAAACATAAAGATATATATATTAGTTGCATATCTCTACTCTGCAGCTTGTCCTAATTATATACTTTTGGGCACGTTTCTCCCAGTTTCCATTTGTCAAATCCTAAAGTCTGGACAAAGCACATTCTCCCACTACTGCACATTCACTCCTGAGCTGACAAGCAAACTTTGTTATGAGAGGTGACGCTCCACGAATAAAAGCAGAATCTGAGGGTTGTGGGCAATTCTGTGATTGATAGAAATGTTCGTGGCAGTATTTACTTGTCTTGATACTTGTCTTCCATTTTTCATCTCCTCCTTTTCTCTCCCCCCCGACAGTAGTGGTTTTGTTGATGGGAAACACTGTCAAGCTATAGAGACCCAAATTCCATGCTTGTCTGGGCATAATAGAATGATGTGAATTCTCTGAGCTCTGTATCTTAACAAAATAAGAAACAGGGTGATTTGGGACTTTTTAAACCTTGTGTAATTCAGCATCTTTCTGACCCAGCAACATTTGCTTTTTGAGAGTTGCATTAGAAAACAATGGGAACTACTGGCACTTCCCTGTTTTCAACACATCCAGTGACATCCGTCGTTTATCAAATGTTTCTATTCCCACTTTGTGACATGTTTTCTCTATAGACATCAAACTGAAGGGAAAACAAGGGAATCTGTTCTATGCTGAATGTAGTTTGTGAGCTGCTTCAGAATTGTAGTGTCAAAGCATTAGCATATTTTCAAATTTACTTTTAGTCCCTAGCTGACAGAAAGACGAAACTATAGGATGAAACAATATATTAATATCCATGACACCCATTCCAGCATCATGTATACAAGTTTTCAGCACAAGAAAAAAGTCATATATCTCTAGAGAGGAAATGTTGCATCGATAACTACAAACAGTAATGTCATTGTGACCTGCATTTGTTTTCTGTTTAGCTTTTTTTCTGATTAGATAATACCTGGTACCAGGTACCTCAACAATAAGACTGAAATTTAATTTGACCATGACCCAACACTGCTTTCACTGCAAAATCTGGTGAGAGCTTATAATTTGTATTTGAAAACAACACTTTGTCTTTTTATTTTGAGTTTTTGAGCTTCAGCCTCACAGGGAAATCGATGTTACCCACAGTGTATGTCCTGTGTTTAGTTTTTAATGTGAATCCTCCATGTTTCTCTAGATACTGTTCAATGCTCTACTGGCTTCATTCACCTGGAAACAAATTAAGCACCTCTCCATTAAAAGCAGTTTAGTTAATGAGAGATAGTCATTAAGATTCGACATATATATGTGGTTTATTTTAACATTAGCAAATAGCAACATAAACAATAGAACATGAGGTTTCACACATCATCACACACCTACAGCTGTAAGTTGAGTAATACACAGTATAACATATACCAACAGGCCAACACAGTGTTTTCCATTCATTTAATCGGTTTAACATTAAGCTCTGTCTGTGTTTCTGTGACAGGGATGCAGTTGTCAGCAGTCTTCAAGTCTTGTCACTCTAAATTGTGTGCATGTTCAGTGGGAAATCACAGTAATCAACCCATATAACCAGGCCAGGCCTACAGTTCTCAGCACAGCAGATGTGTGCTGAGTGTTTTATTTATTTATTTATTTATTAAGAAATGGCGACTTGTCCACAAGCTGTGGAGTGGAGGTCTGTTAACAGTAATACCCGAAAGACAGAAAGTACACGCTTACTGGTGTCCCAGAAGTGCTTTAACAGTTTAAAGAAACATACTTTTAAAATGATTTGTGTATTACTTGGTCAAAATTCATATAGTTGGTTAAAGATATACTATGTAACAAGTCTTCATTAAGATGTCTATAACGACAAGACCTTTGTTGTATATTTTGTAGACATGTGTTTTTACATTATAAAAAATGGTTCCAATAGTGTTTAAACATAGAGTAATGCCCACTTTCATTCAAGGCACCAACACGTTTCATTCTGGTCGCGTTTTGTCTGTCTCTGCTGTACTTTACAGGGAAAATGATGGATGAGGTAGAAAAACTGACGGCGTGAAATTTAGCCAGTCTCTCCACTGTTTCAGTGCATAACGTGATTAAAAACTGTGATACATAAGCTCATCCACGAACATTTTTTCCGCCTCAGTTGCTTCAGGTAGATTTTCATTGGCAATGGTGGTGAAGACAACAACTCCCATGCTCCCACGCTGCTTCACGACACAATCAAACTAGGTCTTTTGTTATTGTAGTTGCATATTTAAAGTTAATTATCAACATCTCTAGTGTAAATATGTATACAAATTAACCGTAAATGTCATTACCTGCTTTTGTAATTGTTTACAAAAACGATTTGATTAAATTAAGATCATTAGCAAACAGAGGTAAGTTCGTTCAATAACTTTTGAAATAATCCTGCAGATGAACCAATTTACGTCTTTTACATTTAGAGTGGAGACTTTAATATGCTTTCTCTGAGTTTTTGGGTCAGTTGCACTATTACTGGATCCAATTCCAAACAAGGTGAAATATTAAACAGCCTGAATTTTGAGAGCAAGGACGACGTGTCAACCTTGGATTACATTGACTAAGGAGCACTACAAAGTTGCTGTAAAACTTACCCAGCATCCTCAGTCCTCTGCCTGGAGGAAGGAGCCTCATACCCAATGCAATTCAGCCTTTCACTCAGAACAGCTTCGGTGCAGCAACTGTCCCACATGCTCCGGTATTATTCTCTGAGCAATAGCGCAGAGCAGGTGAGGTGAGGCCACAGACTAATATCTGTGGATCTGACTGTTCTCAGGAATTGGCTCCATCCTTTCATTCTTACCTTGAGATTTCTTATAGTGTTATATGTCATCTTATATATACAGGATGAAGAAAAAGTTATATTTGATTCTGAACTTTGATAAATGCAGCGTCTTATATAAATCCTCTCCTGTGATTTTGTTTATTCCAAAAGATTCACAGTGTAGCTGTATGCATTCTGCCCAGACTTTCCCACTGATTCAACAATAGTGTTTTGGTTTGATTTTGTTTTATCTTTGGCTTACGAAGCCGCACAGGCAGTGATGCAAAAGCTTTGAATGTACATATGTATTTTCTTTTTTTTTATGTCTTCACTTGTCGTTTGCTCCCCACCTCCCACTGCGCTCCCAAATCCCATGTTCCACCCTGTATGCCGTAACTAGCTGTCTGCCTCATTTGAACCACTGACTTTAATTGGCTTACTTTCCTCATTACTTCAGCAGCAGTGTTCTCACTGGTCTCCACCTCCTCCCTTTTGCTTTTTTACCCTTTTGTCCTCACGCTGTGTTTTTTTCCCGTTCATTGCAACTGCCTGCCCACCAGTTGTCTCAGCTTTAGTCCGGGTCTGCTTGCTGGTTATAATTGCCTCTTTAGCTTCCATTTTCTTAGCCTCCACCTCCCTTGCTGTGTCCCTTGCTCTTTCATTTAAACTGTGAAACTATAACAATCTCCCTTTATTGCTAGTTTGCTTATGCACTGATATTCACACTAGTTTTTATACTGCTTTTGATCTTTGCCCTTGTAGCTGTCTATTATCACTTGTTGTGCCAACAGCACCTTCCACAACCTTTTTCCTCTCTGCCCATCAGAGCTATTTGAATTGCAATATCATCTAAGTTCTCCATTTACTTTCCTTCACTTCCATTTAAATGTCCTTTCTTATCAATCTTTAGAAGCTATGTCTCTCCATCTTCTAGCCAGTTTATATAGAAGCTTTTGTAGCCTTTCTTACTCTTTGCCCTCGCGGGTCTCTCTTCACTTCTCTCACCGGCCATTAATGGCTTTTAGTCCATCACAATTCTTGCTCACTGGATTTCACTTTTGGCCCTCCTCTCTGCCCCCTTTGCTTCCATGCCGACTAAAACTGTCTCTCAATTTCTTTAGTGGCAAGAGCTTAACTGAGAATCTTCTAAAGTAATAGGCCCCAGTCAGATTTGTAGAGCTCCGTAGAGAATGTTTCTTGGGTCTTGGTTTTGCTGCGGAAGCTGAAATAAACTGCCAACATCTTTTCTCATAGTATTTTCTCCGTCTGCTCCCCAGATCCCACTTATTTTACCTAAAATTTATTTTTTATCTTCTTTTCATTTTCGCTTCTGTTTCACGTTTTATTGCCCTCCCACCTCTTACTCTGCTGTCCTCTCACTGTGCCTCTGTCGTTGCTCTTTATTACTTCTAATCGTCTACTGTCATTTTTCTTTCAAGTCTTTGAGCTGAACCTTATTTTTTGTTCATCAGTCCATCCTTGTTACTTCTTCCTTCTCCTTTTTCTTCATTATTCTTTCCTGTTGTGCATTTCCACCACGTTCTCAATGTCTCAACCATGTTCCACTTGTACCTCTCCTCTTCCATCCTGAGTTTATTCCTTGCTCCTCATTTCCTGTATTCCTGTGCAGTCCTCCTCTATCTGTGCTCCCTCGCAGGCCTATCAGTGGGATGCAGCTATTTAAACCTTATTCTTTTCATGGAGCTGCTTTTCTAAACACCAGAGAAAAGAGGGAAAAGTGAGATAAGAGGTAGAAATGCAAGGAACAATCTCACAAAGTTAACATTAAATCTGCAGTGATCTACTCAGTAAAGTGACCTGGATTGGTACACTGCAGCAGATATTGTATGATTATCCCCTGCCTCTATTTACTTGCACAGATATATCCTGTGCACCGCTTTGACTTCGGCTTCTTAAGCTAACATAAGAGCCATATCACAAGTGCAGAAGCTTAAATAGACTTCCAGTTTTTACGTCTTCAGTGGCTCACTTGCCGTTTGCAAGAGCTTTATTTGGTTTGAATACAATTCTCGACTGATATGATGTAACTGTGCTTTTCCTTCTCTTCCGCAGGTCTGGTGGTGAGAGAAGCCAGTATAGAAATAACGCGGCAGCAAGTGGAAGAGCTGTTTGGTCCTGAAGATTACTGGTGTCAATGTGTGGCCTGGAGCTCTGCTGGAACCACCAAGAGTCGCAAAGCACATGTCCGCATCGCATGTGAGTAGCTGCAAACATATATACATACATGATGAATGAAGGTTAAAAGATATTTACACATGAGTCTGCATACTGTGTAAGAGAATGGGTCAGTGTACACACACACATGCACACACACAGACACACATACACACACGGTCTCATGAATCCAAAACAAAGGAAAAATGACGGACTTGTAATTTATTTTTGAATCATATATTTTATCTTATTAAATGTGTCTAGCCCAACACTCATGGGTTTACAAGACACCAAAATACAAAATACAGTTGCAGTGTTCAATAATTTACCTTTCTTCCAAAACCTGGTGAATAAAAAGCTACAAGAAAGAATTTAAATATCCGGCGATAGTTGGATCTTGAAAGTTTCTGCCCTGGTTGATTTGGCAACACACGACACAACTATAGTTAAAGGTCCAGTGTGTAAAATTTAATGATATCTAGTGTTGAAGTTGCAAGTTGCAGCTGAACACCCCTCACCTCACCCTCCCCTTCCAAACATGCCAAAGAATCTGTGGTGAACTTCAGTTGTCATAAAAACTCAAAAGGTGTTTAGTTTGTCCAGTCTGGACTAATGTAAAAAAAAAACATGGCGGCCTCCGTGGAGAGGGTCCCCTCAATGTAAATATAAAGTATTTAAATATAAAAGGCCTTTTCTGGGGTAAAGAAAACTACAATTCATAAAATTTAGATGAAACGAACTCGTGAAAACATCATGAGGATTATTCTACATTAAATTTCTGCCAATAGTTCCCTTCACCTAAATCTTACACACTGGACCATTAAACAGTGCAGAATAGTTAAATCACTGTTGATGCAAACCTCTAACAAACACATTGTGTTATCTGTGACAGCAGTAGGATATATTTGCATTATAGCTATAAATGGATAGACATGTAGGGAGAGTCAACAATGAGGCTGATACAAATGAAATAAGTGAGTGTGTTTCCTGTGAATTCAATATGCCCATTGTAGATGACTTGAATCGTGTGTGAGGATGTCAGAATCTGACACTAAAAATAAAAGCTAATATGCAGAACTTCCTGAATGCGCAATACTGAAAAATAGCAATCGAGGTTGTATTTAATGAGTAACAAGGATAGTATGCTGTCTGATTGGCTTTCTTTTGATTCGTAATGGCACATTATCATGCAATTCAACACTTGAGACTCACAGGAAATAAACTTGTCCTTGGATAGAGCCTTGTTTTACACTGAATGATAAATGGCGGGGAACTTTTCAAAGCAGAAACGTTGCCCTATGACTTCAGTCAACCATCAGTAGCTTCCTGTTATGGTCTGGTGAAGAATTTAATAAGACAAGTGGGAGTCTGACTATAAGGTCACAGAAAGACCGCAGGCCAGACCAAACCCAACCAGGCTCAATATCACTCTAGCAGTGATCACATGGAGAAATCGTTTTAGGATTGCTAGACCCCAGCAGCAGTCAGGGGGGGAAGAAAAAAATTGGATGCTGCTGTGAATGACGCTTAGTCGACAGCTCTGCAGCGGCCGCGAGGCGAGGGAGTCGAGATGTTTGATAGAAATCACCTAAACAGCCTTGTGCGTTCTTTGAATGTAAGCGTCACAGAATGAATTGTTCTTTCAAAGCTCCTCTTGCTGGCTGGAGAGTTGAAAGCACAACAGTAGTTTTTTCTGAGCATCATTGCTCTGGTCAATATGAGACAACTGGGACCTGTCTGAGTGCTCAGGTTAGAGAAAGGTCAGGCAGAAAAGAAATACTGTGCCAATACAAGCGCGACCCCCACTCTCCAGGTTACCTGTCTTCTGACAGTGTGGCTCTGCCTGAGTGAGCTTGTAAAAGGTCGACTGGGGGCTTTGATAGACTCCTTTCAGTATAGAAACACACCAAACTGCACATATCCTCTTCATAACTTTAACAGACAAGATCACTCTAACAGACACACACCCTGGAGAAGTTATTCTCCCAGGTTGGTCTTATTTGTTCTGCAGAGGGAAATCCATCATGTTTACCCATGTTTTTCACTCCAGGTTATTTTATTTGGCTGTAAATATGTTTCATATTTTCACATGTGTAGGGCTCTGTTGCTTGGTTTATTTACTTACTGGCTTAAACATGTGCTTTTATGTATTTAATTTATCGTAGTAGGTTTATGCACAATATATACTTTATTTTATGATACTTAAAACAAACCTGCACAAGATAATATGAACATAGTAAATATAAACCAGTCCATTTGTATAAACACAGCAGAGTCAAGCCTGTGCACTTTGCAGTGCAGTGCATGATCATAGTAATGTGGCAACAGCACAGCAGCAGTCTCTATTCATTTTGCTTGTGAGCTTTAAAGACCATTTGAATTTAGAACAAAGCATCACTCCTCTCTGCTGCTTTACTATGTGCAGGATGTTTTTCTGTCTATCAGCTGAGAGAGTGACACAGTCAGAAATATCCTGCTAATAACATCCTCGACTGGAACAAGCCCTCCTCGGGGTGCAATGAAAGCTGGGTAATGTGCTGTTTCTGGCTAATGTTTGCGCCCGATACCTGCTGAGACAGATGCAGGCAAGTGTGCGCACACCGGCTCCTCAGGCTCTCGGAGGCAAACATGTGCATGTGAATGAAACTGATACAGAAATGCACAGTGAGCTCTGAGAGCCATGTTGTCTGTGTGTGTAGCATCACATCATGACATACAGTAAACCAGCCACCAATATCATCATGTAATACCATCTTTTAGCACGTACTTCAGTCGCTTTTTATATTTCTTTATCGCTCTGATTCACAAATGTTTACCAATCCATCCATTGTCTTCCTGCTTATCCTATAAGAGTCCCCCCACAAGAGTTGACATTGGGGGATATAGGCGGGGTCTGCCTTGGACAGGTTGCCATAGTAACGCAGGGCCAACATACAGAGCCATTCAAACTCACATTCTCACCCAGGGTCAATTGAGAGTTTCCAATTAATCTATCATCAATCTACATGTCAGAGAAAACCCTCGCAAACACGGAGAGAACACGCAAACTCTGCACAGGAAGTCCCCGGCTGACTCGGGATATGAACTAGAACCTACTTGCTGTGGGGCAGTGACAGTGCTCATGATAACACATCCCTTCTCTTCTGTGTCCTCCTTTTATAATAACTTATTATTATATTTTGAACTGTTAGGGGGCTGCCCACTTTTTAAATAGTGTTCCGTTAACAGTTTTCTAAACTTAAATAAATCTTAAAAGCATGCTACCAATCTTTTCTCATTTTTTACTACTTTTCATGTATTTCACACACGTCAGACCTCTGCTGGAGGTAGAGGGACGGTGATGGAGGATGCCTCTGAGAAATCTTGAAGGCTCCAATAGATATGAGGCGAGAGAGGGATGATAGAGACCCAGCCCCTCTTTTACTTCACTCTCTTTCTCTTCAGATCCCTCTCATTTTGATTTCCCGTGCATTGTGTATTTTCCCTCTGACTTTGTCTGTCCCTCCGTCCTTCACATTCTCTCTTTCTGTATAACAGTGATTTTCCCTTAACCAGATCTGATTACACTCAGCCCCCTCTTGCGATAACCTTTTACTTCAAATCGACCCAACCTCCTGACCTACCCTGCTTTCGCCTCCTATTTGGATCTGCCGTTGTGATTAAAATGCTTCCTGGCAGCTCGAGCTTGCTGAGCAAAGTGTCTTTTCCACTGCACCGTGCAATAGCAATTCAGCATTTCTCTCCCACATACCCATCTCCTCTTCCCACTCATTTTCTTATTTCCCCTCGCATTGTATCCTCCCTCTTTTTTTTGTCCCTTTGCTCACCATTTGCTTATTGTTTCACTCTGTCACTCACACTCTGTCTCTGCCTCTGTCGTCCTCATTCTCCGGCATCTTCAGGCTGTTTTAATAACTGGAATTAACAATTCAAGGCAGTAACTAAAGAGCGGTTTGTAGCTGCATAATGATAATCAGTGTTGTGGCTGTAAAAGTGTCACATGCGCAATCAGGGATATTAAATCTCTGAGTGATTTTTTGGTCTTTTGGAGCAGGGCACTTTAGCTGAGTTATGGGAGCTGCTGGCAGCTTAATTCAAGTTTATAAAGCAGGTGAGACAAACACAGGCGCACATTCGCACGCTCAGCCATGCACAGCATTGCAGGCACGTACGCCAGGTTAAGGGAAACACAGACACACACATACACACAAATGTGCATTCAGTGTCAGTCGAGCTCTTTGGCTCTGTAGCTCTGGGGTCAAGTCTTTCTCCTTCGGTGGATTAGCACAATGTCAAGGTCACATGTGCGCACGCACACACACACACACACACACACACACACACACACACACACACACACACACACACACACACACACACACACACTGTTTTTCTATCTAAGTGAAGACACTAATTGCCACAATACATTCCCTATCTCCCTAACCTTCACCATCACAACTACATCCCTAACTTCAACCATTAGCTAAACCTTAACCTAACCTAAACCTAGTTCTAACCCTGAACATCCCTTTAAAGATGTGATGAGTAGGGTTCAGTTCTGAGATCTGGTGACAATCAGGCACCGGTTCAATCGGTTTGCTGCTCTTATTGTTGACCATTGTTTTTTACCTTTTTAAGAAAAGGATGTTGGGAAAATACCATTCAAAAAGTATCACTTTAGCACCAGTATCAAAAGGTCCAAAGGATATACTCAACTCCTGTGAGGACCAGTCAAAATGTCGACCTTAAACAGGTCCTCACAAAGGCAGATTTACAAGTATTAACACACACACATACCACACACACATATACACACACATTTCAGATGATGGCAATTTGTTCTGCCACTGTGCACTGAGACATGTGTACACAGCAATCATGAGTCCAGACACTCTGGGAAACAGCAACCTGAGCAGCTACTTGTGTCATTTGGAAAATGTCTGTGAGTGAAGTTCTCCTGTTTTGTTTATGATGCAAACGTCTGAGCTGCATGCACTTATGTTTTCCTTCAGTCATGGACGAATTACACCAGGGAAAACAAG